ACACACACTCAGTGGCAGTACATTACCGTCAGTATAATTCCTCGTCACACTGTGAATACATTTTCTACCTCATGGAGCATATTAACTCCAGATCAGTGTGTGTGTCACAGTGTGTGTGTGTGTGTGTGTCACAGTGTGTGTGTGTGTTTGACTTCCATTCTTCCCGGAGATAGATTTGCGATGCGTCCTAATTTCCTGCTCGTAAATATGAGCAGTAACAGTGTGTGTGTGTGTGTGTGTGTGTGTGTGTGTGTGTCCTGCTTATCACATAACAAATTGAAAGCTTAATCTGTCCCCGTGAAGATTTACAACCCGTTCGCTGAGCGGAGACGAGGGAGGAAAGGAGAACATGTGAACAGAGTTTGGTGTGAGGAGAAGGGAAAATATTTAAAACATAAATAATCTGTGGCTGTGGCGCAGTGGGCTAGTGCGTTGGTGTTGGGATCAGATGGTCTCAGGTTCAAACCCCATTGCAGTCAGCATGTCGTTGTGTCCCTGAGACTCTTCACCCCAAAGTGCTCCTGTGGGGATTGCCCTCAGTGTTGAGTATGTGAGTCGCTTTGGATAAAAGCGTCTAACAAGTGACATGTGATGTAATTAACTTTATTAATTGAACTTGAATGCTGGGTAATCAATGCTCTAGTGGCCCTCATGCCCCTTTCACACCAACGCGGTTCCAGGGCCAGTTTGGAGCTAGTGTTCACACCGCAGCGGAGCCGCCTCTAAGCTCCGGATACCGGTGCTTTTCAAGCTCCAAAAAATTGTCGGCCTAGAAGCAAGAACCGCTTACGTCACTTTATAAAGTCAGGCAACACTAACCAGGCTTCGTGTGATTCTGTTTCTTTGTGCCTTACTTTGACCATCCGTTCGCTGTTATTGATCATTGTGGAGAGAGGCAGACGTTTTGTTCTGTATTATAGCAGCTATCGGATGGAATCAATACATGGGCTGCACAGGTTGTGCTGTCCGACTATCACAAGTAGAATCATAATGAAAAATACGCCGGTAAAATTTGCCTGTAGAAAACGGCTTATGCCACAATAGGATAGCAACAAGTAGAATAGAATAGGAGGGATGAAACCCTCTTTAATGGTCACACATGCAGAGCAAACAGCACACACCCATCCTAGTACCAGGAGTCTAGTACTAGGAGCAGTGTCGTCAAGATAGTAAGTTTAGCTTCGGTTGCTATGCTAACATCACCCATTTTATAAATGAAAACCACCCTTGGATGATGGTAAGGTAGACTAAAAGCTTTAGGAATCCAAAGTACAACATATAATAAGTACCCTGTATCAAGATTGATGCAAAACAAGTGACATTTGACCTTTTTAGAGAGGTTTAGAAAAAACTCCACCTCTGAGGTCATTTGGGTGGAAATGGGCGTTTTTGCCGTTTCTCTGGAACCCATTTGTCGATTTTGATGATTGACATATCTTTTGGACCGTTAGAGCCAATAGAATCTAAGGGGAATTTCCACATACACAGCAATGTTACCATTGAGAAGTGGGAGCTATGCGCTCGCAGTTTGCCCAAAACGAAAGCTATCTTACGCTCTGACATCTGAAATCTGAAAACTAGTTGTATTGCTTATGGATTATCAGAAATCATTCAAAGTGACACAGACACATTGGATTAACCTATGGATTAACTCCAGCAGCGTTTTTATCGTTTCAATGCCATTGAAGACCAGTTTGATCAAAAACAACGAAGGTAAGACATATTGCAGTGTTTGCTACCTAATGCCACGAGTTGTGATGTCTGTTTTTGTTTCTCATGTTGCGAGTTCTGACCATGGAGTGATGATACAGATACCTATCGATTCTGTGTAATCTCACGATGCTAATCGATAGGTTGGATTTGCAGTTACAATAAGTAATAAGGGTGTTATACTGTGAATTCTGTGCTAACGGCGTTAGCATTTTTTCGCTCAGGCAAAATTCAGAGGCTCAGCGTTAGTCTTGTGTTTTTTTTTGCTAAAAATTGTTCATATTATCAGTTAGCTGAGTTTCTTCCCGTTACATGGATATGAAACATTCATAGTTTATTAAATCTTAAGAAGCCCTCAGACGCTGTTGCTTGCAGATGTTGTGGTTTCGGACCCGCCGAAGGGTTCGTGGGGCTTAACTTAAAAATGAACCACGGCACTCTGGAGAACAGTACAAGGTTGGAGAAGTAGTTATTTAATTTCATCTGGCTTCGTTTGATTAAAAGCAACACGATCATCGACCCGACGCCGTTTGGGAGAAAATCAGCGATGTAAACGGTGACGTCATGACGCAGCCGCGGCAGCACCAGCCGAGCTCTGGGCGGTGTGAACAAAACGGGGGCTGAAAATAAAAAACTGTTCCGAACCTGAAAAGCTCGGAGCTAAAACGGGGACTGCGATGGTGTGAAAGAAGCATTAGAGACTTCTGTCTGTCAGTGTGTGTGTGTGTGTGTGTGTGTGTGTGTGTGTGTGTGTGTGTGTGTGTGTGTGTGTGTGTGTGTGTGTGTGTGTGTGTGTGTGGTGTGTGTGTGTGTGTGTGTGTGTGTGTGTGTGTGGTGTGTGTGTGTGTGTGTGTGTGGTGTGTGTGTGTGTGTGTGTGTGTGTGTGTGTGTGTGTGTGTGTGTGTGTGTGTGTGTGTGTGTGTGTGTGTGTGTGTGTGTGTGTGTGTGTGTGTGTGTGTGTGTGTGTGTGTGTGTGTGTGTGTGTGTGTGTGTGTGTGTGTGTGTGTGTGTGTGTGCTTACAACCTGTAACCGTGTAAACACTGTGATGCTGCATGACTTCACTAAAGAGACCTCTCCTGCTGATGTTCAGGTGTATATCAGTATGTAGTGTCTCTACTTTAAAGAGTCCTCTCCTGCTGATGTTCAGGTGTATATCAGTATGTAGTGTCTCTACTTTAAAGAGTCCTCTCCTGCTGATGTTCAGGTGTATATCAGTGTGTAGTGTCTCTACTTTAAAGAGTCCTCTCCTGCTGATGTTCAGGTGTATATCAGTATGTAGTGTCTCTACTTTAAAGAGTCCTCTCCTGCTGATGTTCAGGTGTATATCAGTATGTGGTGTCTCTACTTTAAAGAGTCCTCTCCTGCTGATGTTCAGGTGTATATCAGTATGTAGTGTCTCTACTTTAAAGAGTCCTCTCCTGCTGATGTTCAGGTGTATATCAGTATGTAGTGTCTCTACTTTAAAGAGTCCTCTGCTGCTGATGTTCAGGTGTATATCAGTATGTAGTGTCTCTACTTTAAAGAGTCCTCTCCTGCTGATGTTCAGGTGTATATCAGTATGTAGTGTCTCTACTTTAAAGAGTCCTCTGCTGCTGATGTTCAGGTGTATATCAGTATGTAGTGTCTCTACTTTAAAGAGTCCTCTGCTGCGGATATTTAATATAATGATACATATCTTTCTGTCTCTCTAGGTTCTTCCTCAAGTTCTTCCTCAAGTGTAACCAGAACTGTCTGAAGAACGCCGGGAACCCCCGAGACATGAGGAGGTTCCAGGTACTACACACACACACACACACAGAGAGAGAGACACACACACACACACACACACACACACACACACACACACACACACACACACACACACACACACACACACACACACACACACACACACACACAGAGAGACACACACAGAGATAAATTCATCTCCCTAAAGGGCAGGACGTGGCTCTGGAGGACCTGCTGTTCCCATCATGCATTGCAGCGTTATTGCTTTCAGAGATGAGGGTTCAGAGGAACAGCTTTAATGCATTTCAGGTGTTCCTCTGGATCTAAACCTTTATAAACTGATCAGATTGACTGTAATAACAGATTACCCGCAGTTTGTTAATAATAATCATAATAATACATGGGATATTTATAGCGCTTTTCCTAATGCTCAAAGAAGCTTTACATAAAATCAGAACAGAAACAATACAAAGAAAACATAAACAGTTTTGCTAATCCAAGTACGAGTAAATGGGGGGGGGGTTGATCTTTTAGTTTGAAAGCTAGAGTGAATAAGTGAGTTATGAGAGATTTCTTGTGAGTTTGGGCCTATGATGATTATTTCAGATTTGTCACAGTTTAGTTTCAGAAAGTTGTTTTGCACCATGTTCTGATGTCAGTGAGGCAAGTGGTGAGTTGGGAGTGGGTGGATGCAGAAAGAGTTTTTGTAGAGAGGGTGAGTTGGGTTTCGTCAGCGTGACAGTGGAACCAGAGTTGGTGTTGGTGGAGGATCTGTCCAAGTGGGAGGATGTAAATGATTTAAAACAGGGGACCAAGTACAGAGCCCTGGGGGACGCCGTGAGGGACTGAAAGGGTTTGCAGTTGTTGATGTAAATGAATTGTTTTCTGCCAGAGAGATGTGATTTATATATATATATATATATTGGGAGGGATGAAACCCTCTTTTAATGGTCTCACATGCAGAGCACACAGCACACAGTGACATGTGTTCTCTGCTTTTAACCCATCCTAGTACCAGGAGTCTAGTACTAGGAGCAGTGGGCAGCTATTGTACAGCACCCGGGGAGCAATGGGAGTGAGGGGGGAAGGGGGTTGTCCGGTGCCTTGCTCAAGGGCACCACGGCAGGGAAGGAGGTGAACTGGAACCTCTCCAAGAAGCAGTCCACACTCCATTTTTAGGTCTGATCGGGGACTTGAACCGGCAACCATACAGCTCACAGTCCAAGCCCCTACTGACTGAGCCAGGAGGAGGTGAGGATGGAATGGTTAATGGTGTCGAAGGTAGCGGTTGGTCAAGAAGGATGAAGATGATGAAGATGAGCAAGATGGAGAGGGAACCACAGTCAGCAGAGAGGAGAATGTCATGTGACCTTGAGTAGAGCAGTTTCAGTGCTGTGGTGAGAGCTGAAACCAGATAGAAATCACTCCAAGGTCTTTTACAGGAATGTAAATAAAGTTGTTGTGTTTCAGGTGTAAACAAAGTGTTTGTGTTTGGAATAGAATATAATTGGGAGGGATAAAACGATAGTTACGGCTGTAACTACGGTTCTATGAGTCCCGGATGACCGCCAGAGGTGGTGCTTTAGCACTGGATATGTCCATCGCACGCATGCGCAGTTCGAGTACCTAATAACAACAAAGTCACATGTGACCCACGTGACTACGGCTACATAGGCCGGCGTCATTAGTGGATCGGTTCCCAGAATCTTCTCGCGAGCACACAAGAATTCTGAGTGACCGGAAACTCTGGCGGTCATCCGGGACTCATAGAACCGTAGTTACAGCCGTAACTATCGTTCTATTTCGTCCCTACTGACCGCCAGAGGTGGTGCTTTAGCACTGGATGACTTATACCAACCATGAAGAATCCAAGCCCTTTCTCACTACTGGAAGCAGTGGAGCTCGGCAACAGGACCACGCCCAAAGGATGGGGAGTGGCGACATTGACCCGGTAGAACCTGGAGAACCTGCAGCGCGGTAGCCCCGTTTAAGCGTCCCTAAGCGTCCTCGCTCAGGCCTCGGGCTGCCTCGCTGGCCGTCCGAGGCCGTGGCACATTTCCATTACAGTTTAGGACCTGGGGTAGCAACGCAGTGTAGGTGGGGCTCCCGTCGAGCTCCCGCTGGATTTGATCATCCCCAATGAGATGTAGGAACGTCGTCACCTCTTCGGTCGACCACGGTGTGCTTTTCTTTGACGTTGCCATTTTTGTAGCTCCTCTGTTTACAAAAATGCTGTATATAAAAATGCTGCAAGATTGCTTCTAGATATACAGTGGGGCAAAAAAGTATTTAGTCAGCCACCAATTGTGCAAGTTCTCCCACTTAAAAAGATGAGAGGCCTGTAATGTTCATCCTAGGTACACCTCAACTATGAGAGACAGAATGGGGGGAAAGAATCCAGGAAATCACATTTTAGGATTTTTTATGAATTAATTGGTAAACTCAGTATTTGGTCAACTACAAACAAACAAGATTTCTGGCTCTCACAGACCTGTAACTTCTTCTTTAAGAGCCTCCTCTGTCCTCCACTTGTTAACTATATTATTGGCACCTGTTTGAACTCGTTATCAGTATAAAAGACACCTGTCCACAACCTCAAACAGTCACACTCCAAACTCCACTATGGCCAAGACCAAAGAGCTGTCAAAGGACACCAGAAACTAAATGGTAGACCTGCACCAGGCTGGGAAGACTGAATCTGCAATAGGTAAGCAGCTTGGTGTGAAGAAATCAACTGTGGGAACAATTATTAGAAAATGGAAGACATACAAGACCACTGATAATCTCCCTCGATCTGGGGCTCCACGCAAGATCTCACCCCGTGGGGTCAAAATGATCACAAGAACGGTGAGCAAAAATCCCAGAACCACACGGGGGGACCTAGCCAATGACCAGCAGAGAGCTGGGACCAAAGTAACAAAGGCTACCATCAGTAACACACTACGCCGCCAGGGACTCAAACCCTGCAGTGCCAGACGTGTCCCCCTGCTTAAGCCAGTACATGTCCAGGCCCGTCTGAAGTTTGCTAGAGAGCATTTAGATGATCCAGAAGAGGATTGGGAGAATGTCATATGGTCAGATTAAACCAAAATAGAACCTTTTGGTAAAAACTCAACTAGACGTGTTTGGAGGAGAAAGAATGCTGAGTTGCATCCAAAGAACACCTACTGTGAAACATGGGGGTGGAAACATCATGCTTTGGGGCTGTGTTTCTGCAAAGGGACCAGGACCACTGATCCGTGTAAAGGAAAGAATGAATGGGGCCATGTATCGTGAGATTTTGAGTGACAACCTCCTTCCATCAGCAAGGGCATTGAAGATGAAACGTGGCTGGGTCTTTCAGCATGACAATGATCCCAAACACACCGCCCGGGCAACGAAGGAGTGGCTTCGTAAGAAGCATTTCAAGGTCCTGGAGTTGCCTAGCCAGTCTCCAGATCTCAACCCCATAGAAAATCTTTGGAGGGAGTTGAAAGTCTGTGTTGCCCAGCGACAGCCCCAAAACATCACTGCTCTAGAGGAGATCTGCATGGAGGAATGGGCCAACATACCAGCAACAGTGTGTGAACACCTTGTGAAGACTTACAGAAAACCTTTGACCTCTGTCATTGCCAACAAAGGGTATATAACAAAGTATTGAGATTAACTTTTGTTATTGACCAAATACTTATTTTTCCACCATAATTTGCAAATCAATTCTTTAAAAATCAGACAATGTGGGATTTTCTGGATTCTTTCCCCCCATCCTGTCTCTCATAGTTGAAGTGTACCTAGGATGAAAATTACAGGCCTCTCTCATCTTTTTAAGTGGGAGACCAGGAGGAAAAATGGTTATTAGAAATTAAAAAAAAAAAATCATATTTTGAAAAATGATTGATTCGAAAATAATATGATACAGTACAGTACTATTACGTCTGGGTCTCTGTGTTTCATTAAAGCTCGGCTCTGTGTGTGTGTGTGCGCGAGCGAGCGAGAGAGAGAGAGAGCGCACCGGTACCGGAGATCGTTGATGTTAGCTTCTTGTGCTAGCGAGCTACGCTAACGGATATAAGGTGTTTTTTCAACAACAAGGTGGAGGAGAGTCCTCTCCTGTCAGACTGAGAGGCTCAGTGAGCTAAAGGACTCTCAGTGTTATCTCAGTGGGTCTCAAATGTTTTGGTCACCATTAATGTAAACAATTATTTCCGAGGCACACGTTTATATGATCATTATAGTTATAAAAAAATAAGAGAATAAATTAAAAACAGGTATGAAATACTATATGACATTAAAAAATGTATAAAGTTTAAAAGGGTGATTTGTAAAATATCCATAAAGAAATAGTAAATCTGTTTACAGTTCTGTGTTGAGAGATGTATCCAAAGATCTCTTCATTTTGCTCTCAAAGTGCACCAGATTGATGCTTTTAACTTCAATATTTAAAAATAAATCTTCCCGGGGAGCTTGCCCTCGGACCCCCCTACAGTATGTGAGGTCCACACACCACCTATAAAAATAGCACTTTACCCCTGCTTACAGCTATATGCCGTGAGCTGATTATCGAGCCTTCATTGTAACAGTCGAGGGTACACTGTGTATATGCGTGGGGAGTGTTGCAGTAGAACATTCCTCTGTAGCGACCGGTACATTAATGGGAAACCCTAAATGTTTGAGCACCCTCTATGAAACGTCAAGCTACCCCACAGCACCCCCAACATAAATCTCTGGCGCAGCCACTGAGCCCGACTATTTGTGTTGGGGGGGCCCGACTTTTTTTTTTCTCCAAAGGGGGGGCCTGACAGAAAAAGTTTGAGAACCACTGCATTAGGGCAAAGGCTTACAGTGATGCATCACTGAGGCCCAGCAAAGAAGGCTCAGCCGGAGCCTGCTGCAGAGAGGTAGAGAAAGCCAGTATCAGATGCGTGCCGCTGTGTCGTAGGCCCTACAGAGCAGCTCGTCTGTGACCCTGCACTGAGGCCGAGGGCACCTGGCATCAGGAGCCCGAATCGGGGAGGCGATGGCAGGCTCAATGGATGGCAAGCGACCCAGCCCCACCCTCGCCGGAT